ATCACCTGTCGGGAGCTGAGGGTGGGAGGTGAGGCATGGGTGAGCACAGGAGGTGTCTCTGCTTCTTTTTATCCTGGATGATGGGAGTTTGGGGCTCATGGGGCTAAGAAAGAAGTGCCTTGGACTTGTAGCTCTCCCAGTCTTTATCTCCTGTATGGAATGCCTGACATTTTGGGCTCACAGGAGGCACAGTCTCCTGCCTCCAGCATGCTCCTTTTGTATCTGACTTCCTTGTATAACTGTTGCCAAGGGGCTCTGGAAGTCTGCCCAAGCTGCACAGAAGGTCACTGTCTAACTTCAGGGCACAGGGACGCCATCCCTGGCCTTGCTATCCTCTGTCGGCAAGGGTCACCAGACCCTTTTTCTTGGCAAGCAAATGGGGAACACACCCAGTATTCCAGAAGGAAGCCTGGGTGGAAAGGGCAGTTTGGCCACTTCGTGTCTCTAGACAGGGTCACCAGAGCCTACACGCTGGGGGCACTGCCACCAGACCTCTGCTCAGGCTGGCCGTCCTCCTAGCACAGCCTCCTGGCCCTCCTGACCCTCAGTGAGCTGGATTGCTGGGCTTCAGGAGTGGGGCCCACCTCTACTCTGTTGGGATAGAGACAACTTAACTCACTGCTTAAGAACTTAACCTACTGTGTGCCCCAGCCTTGCTAAGTAAGCACTCAGGAAAAGTGATTGCTTAAATGCCACCTTCACCCTGCTGCCTCACCTGAAGCCGCAGGGGTAATGTGTCCAGAAAGAAATGAGCCCTCCTTAGCATGTATGGGTCACCAGGTGGGGAATTCAGAGGCCTTCTTGACTCCCTCTTCCCTCCCACGACCAGACAGTCACTAAGCCCTGTCACTTCTCCCTCCTAAGTGGGTCTCCAGTCCATCCCTTGATTCTCATCCCATATGCTCCACTGAGTGCAGGTAGTCACCATCCTCCGACAAGTCGCCTCTTCACTGGTTTCCAGGCGCCACATCACAGCCCAAGAGAACCTTTTGACATGGAGATTTAGCCATGGTTTAATTACAAGCATTGCCTTATCATCATTCCCTGTTGACCTTAGGATAAAGTCCAAACTCCTTAGCTTAGTATTTGGGTCTTGTGTTAACTCCCAGACTGCCCCCTTTGCTCCAGCTTACATACCAGATAGTATCTTAGACACTACCTTAGATACCATTCAGTGGATACTTTTTATATAGTTGCCTCCTCCAGGAAGTCCTTTCTGATGCTGGCAGACTGGAGTCATCTTTATGTTCTCATAGCCCCACCTCCAGCCCCCCTAAATCACTGTAGAGGTCACCTGATCATGGCTCATGGCTCCCTTATTCACCACAGCCTGGCACCTCCCCTGCTGAGCTCTGACTTCATGGTTCTTCAGGATGCCACATTCCCTCCTCCTCCTGCCGTCACAGTCTCTTTCTTCAGCCCAGGAAGTCCACTCTGCCCGATCGCCCAGGTAGCACACATTCACTCCTCCTGGCACAGGCCAGAGGTCACTTCCTCAGAGGCTATCCTTGACCACCATGCTACAATGGGCAGGGATCCCCTGTGATAAGCTCCCTTAGCCCCTTGACCTTCCCCTTGGCCACGGCAGCTATATTTCCCTATGATTCAGTGAGGCAATTAAAAGCATGGACCCTGAAGCCAAAATGCCTAGTTCACAGCCCAGCACTGTTGTTTACCAGCTCTGTGTCCTTGGGATGCTTCCTTGACCTCTCTGCACCTCAGTTTCCTCATCCATAAAGTGGGGATAACAAAATCACCTACTCCATCGCAGCCATGCAACTTGCTGTGGCCAATGAAATGTGTGCTGGGTCCTGTGCTACTTCCAGAGGAAGCCTCCAGAGATGCTATGCCGGGTGGCAGGTCCCCTGCCCATGGCCCCCTCAGCCCAGGCCCTAGAGTGAGAAGAAGTGCTGTCCACCTCCCGTTGACCCATCATCAACGTGTGACATAAACATGAAATACACCTTTGTCGTCATATTCCACTGAGATTTGGGGGTTTTTATTTTCTGCTACATAACTATCCTCTCCCAGTTGATAGAAGCATTTGGAATAAAGTCTGGCAGAGAGAAAATTATGGAAGAGTTAGCTATCATTATTTACATGGCTGCCTGCTAGACTCTGCTAGTAAGACCCAGCTTTCTCTTGTTCACTGTGGCAGCCCCCACTGTGGGCACAGTGCCTAGCACGTTAACACTTGCTCAATAAAATACTTCTTGACTCATCCACTGATGGTCAGGCAAGAGCTCTGCTGAGCCCACACACCCACCCCACCCACCTGGCCTGGTCCCCATGGGTGGGTGTCAGGGATCAGCTCTGTCCAGAACCACCCCTCTGCATCACCATAAATCCCAATGGCCCATTTCTTTTGAACAGCCCCCGGAGTTCTTCCATCCTAGCAACGCCTGTCAGTTGTGATGGAATGATTTGGTCTCGCCAAGACTGTGGTCTGGCCTGTCCACTGTGGTTCCCTTGTGGACATTCCTCCTGGCCTGGCACAGGGGGCGGCCATTCCCCCTAGCAGTTATTTGCCAAGAAGTTCCAGGTGGTTTCACTTCTCCCAGTAAGCCCAAACCACTCTCAGTATCTGAGAAAATTCTAGATTCTGATAAAAGGATATAGAGGCATCTGTTCAATCTCCATCCCAAGAGAAACTAACCCCTGCCTGCATATCTCTGTTGATGGGGCTTTTACTACCTGCAGAGTCTGGGCTCTGCCATGGGGTAGTTCTGTTGGCTGAGCTCTTCAATAGATGACTTGCATCTGATCTGCATGCTCAAACCTCATCTTGGTCCCCATGGGCCATGCCCCACACTGACTGAGCCAGACCACAGTTTCTGGCCTGTGACAACTATGTAAAGCAGGACGCCCACTCTGTCACCCTTCACCTCCTCACTTTCTCACAAAGCATTCTCAACTGTTTCCTCCCCCTGGCTTTTTTTTCTTTATCATTGTTATTTTATGAAAAAGTTCCCTGAATTACCCACTTGTGGGATTTTGGTCAAAATTTAATGTTAATCCAGTCCATATTTTGGCCCCAAAATATAGGCTGGTCCTCTGTGTGGCCTCCGCCCAGGGGCTGGGGGGATTAGAAGGCAAAACCCAATACGAACTGGCCTCCTGTGGTCTGCTGTGACTAACAGATCCATCATCAAGTTAAATCCACCCTCAGAGAACTCTTGGTACAGATATAAGTAGTTGTGCTCTAGGAAAGGTATAGAAAGCCTCAGAAATTTTCTCCAGAGGATTCATGGGAAGCTGGGATAGCATTCAAGCCACAACTCCGACTTAATTTTGTGTGATCCTAGGTTAATCCCCTTTATTCCTTAGTACCTAATTTTCCCCATCTCTGCACAATAAGGAAGTTGTACTTAGTCATCTCTAAAGGTCCTATCAACCACCCACTTGTTAGTATGAATTAGCACCTCAGCTTAGCTATAGCAATGACTGTCTCTAAATGGACCACACGTGGGTCTCAGTTGCAGCTAACAGAAGCCAACTCTGGCTAACTTAAAGAAAGAGGTAGATGGGGGGAGGGGGAGAAGAAAAGGAGTGAGGGAGAAGGATGTATTAGAAACTTGTGAATGACCCACAGATTAAGGGAAGACTGAAGAACTAACCTCATAAAATCAACAGGAGCCGGGGAAGGGGGTGGTGGGGGGGAGATGAAAGGGCAGAATCACAGTCAAGGTCATTCCCCAGAAACAATCTGCAAAAACACCTGTCTGCTCCTGCTGGCGTCCAGTCCATGCTGCTGGCCACTCCATCTCCCTGATACTGTCTCTTCTCTGGCTTCTGAGACCCTGCTCACTTCAGCAATCCTGCTGTCCTGCTGTCCTGCCATCCTCTTCACTGGCCACTTCCTTTTCGGATTTCACTCCCCTGACTCTGACCACCCGCCCTGAGCAGGGTGAACAGCAAGGGCTAATGCCCCCAAAGCCAGGGTCGTCTCTCCCGAGTCCTGCTGCCTTTGGCGAGTGATCTTAGACTAATTGTTTAAGCTTTCTGAACTCAGTCGCTTCACCATTAAACTGGGGAGAACTGAGCCACCCCCATGGGCTTGTGAGATTGGGGAGTACTGGCACCGAGGTGCTCAGGACCCCAGCCTGGCCGACAACTTTGTGCTCCTTGGTGGGGCTGGGGTTGAGGATGGGGCACCCCCTCTCTTCCTGCCTTCTGTGGACCACCACCTGCCCCCACCCCACCTCCAGCCCCTGCGTTTGTAGGTGGTCGACACTGAATGGGATTCTCTTCCTCTTTGCACTTTCACTCTTTACATTTCACTTCGTGATGGGAACTGTGAGTGGGAGTGAGATACCCCAAATCTCCACTACATTCTTCCCCTCTACTGGGGTCCGCCTTCGTGCAAGCCACTTGTTCCATCCCCAGGGCTAAGTAGACAATTTCCTGACAGGGAAGGGGGGCAAAGGAGCAGGGCCTTTGGGGTGGGTTTCAAAGAGCCTCTGCCTTTATTGCCGCCTGTCCTCTCCCCTTCCCCTTCTCATCCTGGAGAGCCCATCTCCCCCCAGGCAGGGGAAATTATACCAGGTTCTAATGGGGCTGGAGGGGAGAGCGGCCCCTCTATTCACCGGCGGCTGAGCGGCCTCTCGAGCAGCCATTGTGCCCCCAGCCGCCTCCGCCTGGATTGCGGTCAGGTGGTCCAGCGCGACCCCTCCCCTTGGTCGGCACAGGAATGGGCTCCAGCGACGGGCGGCCCACGGAGCTCTCCGTCCACCCTCTCGAGGCGCTTTTGTTGAATAAAATAGCACCCGCACCCGGCCACTTTAGACCAAGGCCAGGCACTTGAATGTGAAAACGGGGCCCAGCCACGGGGAGTGCGGGGACAATGGCCACCCTCAATTAGCTCACTGAGGTGCCCCAAATGGACTTGGGGAGGGGCGCAACCATAGCCCATTCATGCATATTTATCACAATCTGCTGCACAGACGCTTGCATTGTTGTCATGGCAGCGCTGGGGGTGGGGGCAGAGGGGAGAGGGCTAAGGGGCTCCCTGGGCCTTGCAGGGGTTGTGGCTCAGGGATGCTCTGGCTAGACCCAGCATATTGGAAAGCTCCCCCCCACTCCACGTCCCCCTGCCATTATCTGCCATTATCTGAGACTCATGAGCCAGCCTAAGCAGGGAACCCCGGACTATGAAGAAAGGCACCTTCACATGTGCTGGGCACACCCACTTGACAGGTAGGGAAGCCAAGGCCCAAAGCAGAGTTAGCATTTTCCTTATGTCACTGTGCACCTAGGATGGAAGGGGTCATATTAATAAAGGCATGTACTATATGCCAAGTAAAAAGCTGGTCTGTGCTAAGTGTTCTCTGTTGTCCTATCTATGTGCTCCCATAAATCTGTACTGTCTCCACACAAGAAAAACCACAACTGAGCATAGGGTGGCTACTTTTTCCAAGATCAAGCAGTTGGTGTGAGTAGCAGGGCTGAGACCCTCGCTAAGGTGGTCGCTCTCCACGACCGGGACCTGGCCACAGGTTAAGGAAGTTGGATGGGGGCTATTTCTTGGTCATTAGTGGCTGGGGCCAGGCACTACTTGGTGCCAAGTTCAGGCCACTTCATTTGGCATATAGCAGTGCCAGGGAGAGCTCCATTTACAGACATGGAGGCTGAGGTCTGGAGAAGCGCAGCGCCCTGCAGCAGGCCACACTTGGCTGGCTAACAAGTCACAGGGCCAGCACCATGGGTGGTGGTCCCAGTTTGCCCTCGGGCACTTCCTTTCTTCCTTTCTGGACTGCTAGAAAAAGAAAGCAAACTTGGCTTCCAGATTCTGCTGAGCTGTGGACTTAGTACCCTGCCCCCATGAGAGCCTTGTGCAGGAGGGGGCTGAGCTGGGGCTTCCCTCACAAAGCTCTCAAATGCCATCTGAGATTCCAGCGGGGGTGGCTGCCCCATGTGACTGCTGGGCAGAGCTTCGAAGTTCTCCTCTCTCTGTGGAGCCCAGCTCTTCTAAGGAGCTCACAACATCTGTGGGAATGCAAGCAGATAGAGAAGGGGGCAAAGCTGCCTCCCCATCAGGCATGGCCGCAGTGGCAGGGGCTGTTCCTCCCAGTGGGTGTGGGTTCTGTTGCAGTGTGTTGTTCTAGCAAACTAACTGAGCTTACTGTGCTCCTCCCCCATCACCCCCCACACACACACTCTTGCCTCCACGCCTTTGCTCTTGCTCTTTCTCCTGGTTTGGATTACAAGTTGAGTTGCCAGGAATTAAGGTGAGTGGAGTCTGATTCCATTGGTCTGGGTTGAGTTCTGTTCCTTTCAATTGGTTTGGTAGGGGTTGCACCCGCTGGGTTGATTTGAGGCATGTGTTCATGAGACGAGTTCAGTTCCACGGCATTGAGTTAAGCTGAACTTGAGTTAAGGTAAGTTGAGCTGCATGTAGTGAAAATGAAGAGGAGATGATGACAAGCCTCAAGCTAATAACAACCTCCATGGAACCTCCAACTCTGAAAAACTAGGATTCCAAGGATCAAGAATCTCCCAGGGGCCTCCCTGGTGGCGCAAGTGGTTAAGTCTCAGCACTAGGAAGCTATCTGTAGCCACTGCAGCACAAGTTCAATCCCCAGCCAGGGAGCTACACACATGGCACAGCAGGTCCTCTCCTGTCTCGCCCACTGATCCCTCAGCAGTGTATTTCAGTCAATCTGCCTGTTCTGCTCCCCACTCTCTCTCTGGTGAATCATCTCACCCCCTGTACCTCTTACCTGCACCCCACCTCTTGTATGCATAAATGAAATAAATCTTAAAAAAAAAAAAATCTCCCAAAGCAGAGAAGTTGCCCTTTCCATTCTGTCCTTCTTTTACTGTTGGACATGACTCCTCCTTGGGCTGGAAAGTGGACAAGAGCTTCTGGAAAAATTTCCTTATTTTTATCAGCAGCTCTCTTCAAGGTTGGAGGAGCATATGATGACGACATCTGGTAGAAATCAACATAAATTCTAAAACCCCTGACTCTCAGGAGTATATATTCAAAGGAGCTGAGGCTCTTCTGGCAATAGAAAAATAGATTCAGATGGTCTGATCCTCCCCCATCTCCTATCATCCCCAAGGCCAGGATCCCACCACCACTTCCCTGAAGAGACCAGCAGCCTCTGTTCAGGTGCCAGAGACAGGACACCCCACCTTAAGGGACGGCAGTGTCATCTAGGAGTAAAGAAGTCTGAGTCAGATTTGCAGAGCAGCACCTTGGCTTATCTGCATGGTAACCTGGGCACATAACTTTCCCTTTGGGGGTCTTTGTGAGGAGTGAGTTTTGTGGCGATGAATAAGACAAGATGTGTAAAGCACATAAGGCCCACCATCTGTGAGCACTTCATCAAAGGTAGTTTCTACCATCGCTGATCCTGTTACCACTGACTACGCCTGCTATTGTGACAGTACTGGTCAGTGGGTAGCAGCCTGTTTGTCAGAAAATTCTTCTTCACTCTTGAGCCTCTGGCTCTAGCCCATGTGGAGCCCCATCCCCTCACCTCTTCCCTTCCTTACACAGCCCCTGCCCGCAGGGCCAGCACCCAAACAGCTGACACCCCCTGCTCAGGAGCTGGTGCTAGTCCTGTCTTAGACACTGCTTTGGGGAGCGGGGGAGGCTTGGACACAGCCTTCCTCTTCTCTGGTCTCAGTTTCACAACTCTACAGTGGAGAGTCGAGCCCAATCATCTTAGAGATGAACTCTGGCTAGACCCCCTGGCCACATACCTGAGCCCAGTGCCCCTCTCTCCAGTCTATGGGGAGAAATCTCTGCAATGGCCCCCGCCTCTTCTGGTCAGTCCTGAGGATCTTCTCTGATGAGAATTTGCATCAATATTCTGAATTCTCCACATGTTTGATTCCCAGGAAAAGGCATCAGACCAAGCAAGCACCTCTACCCCCACAGAAACTGCACTCAGCACCACTGTTGACCCACAGGAGTGGGTGTCTGGCAGCTGAGAGGCACCCGCAGGGCCACCAAGCACATCAAAGGCAAAATGCAGGCCTCAAATCCCAGTCTCCTAACTTGCAGTCCAACCCTCCCTCTTCCATCCATAGAATACACAAAAATTGATCACTGACTATGTACCAAATACTGCTAGGCACCGGAATTCAAGGTGAGAGGAACGTGGCCTATGTTATTAAGGAGTTTCAAGAAAGTTCCTGGAGAGAGATTCATTCATTCATTCATTCATTCATTCACCCAATAAACACACAAGCAGCTACACAAAAGTCATAAGACCAGCTCGGACCCAAAGCCCAGCTCCCTGGCCTCCCACCGCTGGCCGCTGTGTGCGGGTGAGGTGGTGGTTCTCTAGGCCACCCACCGCCGCCCCGAGGGACTGGCAGGCATGAGCTCATGTCTGAGAAGCCCTGCGGCTCTCAGAGCAGGCTGGGAACACAAGGCCTCCTTGTGATGCAGGAGAGATGCCTCTCGGGGCGGCGGCCCTGAAGCCCTGGGCACTGTGGAGCTGTCAGCAGACACTCCCTGGCCCAGGGTGCCAGGCTTTGATATGGCATTAATGCGCTAATATCTTAATCTGGCCACCACCCGCCAGCTGCCTGGCCACACAGTGGGGCCCTGGGGACAGGGTTTCCAAATTACATTATTGAATGTTTACCTAGTGAGCTGTCCAAAGAGTGTTTAACACCAGCTGAGGGGAGCGCATGTGCACGGAGAGCCCCGCACCCACGGCCCTCATACATACCACACACCCTCACACACTGCCTGCCCCAACTCAGGCACGTGCATTCACAGAGGCCGACATGCAGCAGGTCTGTGAAAAACACATGTGTGTGTACACACGCCCCCCACAGAGACCCCACCATGCACGCACACACATTCCTTGCGCACTCACACCGCCCTCCAGTGCCGCCACCCAGGACGCCTGCTTTTCCTCACCTTGCACAGCCTCCCTGCACAGGCTCTGTAGGCTGAGCCTGGGACTGGTGGTGGTGGGATGTTAAGCCTGAGTGTGCCCTGGAAATTTGCTGCTGTCAGCCCTCCCCAGGCCCCCTGGCCCCATTTCTGAGTTCAGACACCCCAGTCCTTGTGGATGGTGCTATTAATATGGTCACAGGCAGAGCCCCAGCCAGGTATTCAACCCTCAGAGGAAAGCAGGGTGGGTTTCACACCTGGTCCAGCCCTGCTGTGGGCCCCCCCCACACACACCACCCCTCAGCCCCCATTCTTTCTCGCCCCTGCTAAGCAGACTCCCCTCTTCGAAGGCTTTCCAAATGCTGTTTCCTCCACCTGGAACAGCCTCCAATCTTATATCCTCCAGTCCAAATGGTTCTCTTCAAAGTGAGCTCTCCTCCCCTCTTCTAGAAGTTCTCCCCACTCCAGTCAGCAGAGGGGGGCCACTCTCCCTCAGGGATGCCCTCATTGGGCCCTGACGTAAGGGCAGGCACTGCTATGACATGAGGATGGTAACAAGGCTGCCCCCCACAGGGTCACGCTAAGGAATGAGCATTAATCCCAGGACGGCATACGGTCGTCGCTGGATGACAGTCGGCATTGCGCACACATACTAGTAGCAGGTGGTGCAGCAATGGTGCAGCCATAGGACTGTGATTGCTGATGCCTGTGTCCACCTCTGCCCTCCCTACACGTTCAGTTCCAAGAGGCAGATCTGACATCCCTCCAGCCCTTGTGGGAACCAATGCTAGTTGAATGACTAAGAAATCTACTTCTCATCTCTGCCTTTTTATAACCAGAGAATGATTTTTCCCAGAAACACCCAATTGAGAGGCAAATCGAAAAAACTCACTGAACTGAGTGGAGGTGCCTATATCCACCTAATCCTCATTCTGCCACAACACTCTGTGCACTCAGGTAAGTCCGCCCCTCTTTCTGGGATTTCCTTCCCTCATTTGTCAAATAAAGAATTTGGTAGCCAAGTTTCCAGGTTCCTTTAGGTCTGAAGTTTGGGAATTTTAAGTCCCAGGCATGACCAGGCCACGAGGGCAACAGTCCAGTTGGGAAATAGGACAAGCCAGCAGAAGTGGTCAGCCCTGGCAGGACCATCTGGAAAAGACTATAGAGGTAAGATAGGAGCAAAGGCCTGAGGAGGAAGAGCACCTGGTATACCACAGGAGCCAGCCGGGCGTGGTGGGGGTGGGGCATAATGGCACCAGTGACATTACAGAGGTTAATATGGGCTGGGTCAGGCAAAAACTTCTAAACCATGGCCAGAAATGTGCATTTTATTTAAGTACAATGGAGACTTTTTAAGCTGAAGAGTGATTTGATTTATGTTTTAAAAAATCCCTCCAGCAGCTATAAGGAGAATGGATTGTAGGGGGAGTAATAAAGGAACGGGGTGAGGGGTGTGGAACCTACTGGGAAGGCCATTAATCCATGAGGGTGGCAGCAGGGTAGGCAGAGAGGTGGACAAATTTAAAAGGCACTTAGGTAGCACTGATTCCACAGGCAGATGGATGGGTTTTGGGGGACAGCAAGAAGACGGGGGAGTTTAAGAGTACAACCAGATTTCTGCCTGTTAAAACTAGGTAGATGATGGTGCCACTTACTGAGCTGGGGAAGCCTGGGGAGGCTCGGGGTGCCCTGTTCAAGTGTGCATGGCACATGAGATTCACACACACACCCCATATCAAAAGATACTTAAGCAAGCCTCCTGCTAGAACTCTTAGTTGTTGCCTTTCCCACACAGGCCTGGGGTTCTCCAGCCTCCTTGCCGAATACTGATCTCAGGAAAGAATGAGATAGTGATCAGACTCCACTTTCTTCCAGGAAGATCCCCCCAGGACCTTTCCCCAGGGAGTCTGCATATAGCTTGGATTTAAGAACACAGAGTCTGGAGTCAGATACCTGGGTTCAAATCCCAGCCCTGCAAGTTCCTGACTGTGTGACCCCAGGCAAATTTTTTACCCTCTCTGTGCCTCTGCTTCCCTATAAAACATGGGATGATAGCAGCACCTCCTTCATAATGTTGATGTGAGAACTGACTAAGTGCAGTGCTTTGCTTCGGAAGTACTTAGAAAACCTGCACAGAGTAGCAGTCAAAAAGTGTTAGCAAGTGCTATCAGGTGCCACTAACCATTTGATCCTGCAGGCCACCTTCATTTGTTAGGAACCCAAGAGTCTCAGTGGTCAGAATACTGGCCTTAGCACATCTGGGCCCCGTCCCACCTCTTCCATTTAGTGTCTGCACGGCTTTGAGCAAGTTACCCTAAGGTGGTCTAAATGCTTTCTGACCACCCTCTTCCTGAGCTCGGGCCTGGACTCAGAGAGACCCAACATGGAAGCGTGCTGTGCCCGTAGGTTCCACACAGTACATGTAGGTGTGTCAGTTACTGGTCTGGACCTCAAATGCACAGGGGGTGAGGTACCAGCTCAGGGCTGGCCTGTAGGCTCCAGCCTGTCTCCCTCTGCTGAGTTCCCAGAGCCAGGACCTAGCTTGACTGTCCTTTGGGAACAGAACAGAGATGTTCAAGGCACTTTCTTTTTCTTCATGAGACCTTTATAGGATACAGTCACGCCCCATAATCTCTTTTGACTCACAGCTTTGGAGCAGGTCAGGGAGCTGCCTCTGCATCTGGGGATGAGACACTGAGGACAAGAGAGGTGTACAGTCCTGCAGAGTTCACAGCAGGGTGGACCTGGCTTCAGACACCCAGCCTGAAGCGCTTCCGCCACCACACATGCCTCCCACCAGCCCCTGTGGAGTTTTCTGTTACTCAAACTGGCTTCAGCTTGACTCTGCCCCACTGCTGCTTCCTCAATTTCTTTCATATCTTCTCCTCTACTTAAGAAACCCCTCAGAGACATTTCTGAGGCTGCAGAGCTGGAATTTCTGGGTCCGGATTCTCAGCCTCCTCCTCTATGTGTACCTATTGAATCACCAGCCTTTCCTGGAGCGTCTGCCTGGGTGATACCCACTCCCCAGTTTTCCACAATTGGCTTTCATTTCTCAGGAGGCTAGCAGGCTCCACACAGTTCTAGTTCAGTCTCCGAAGGGAGAGATGAAAGAGAAACAGAAAAAGAAATAAAATTCCCTCCCCTCCCCCAACCACACATTTTTATAACTCACAGCAAGCTCCTCTGATATAAGTGACTTAATGTTGACTGCTTTACAAGCACCTTAAGCCCTTAAAATGGATGGGAGGAGATGGGATGTGAAGGGATTTCTGAAGTAACTCACCGAAGCCCAAGAAGAGACTCAGCCCACACAGACTACCAGACGCAGCCTCCTGCTTTCTCTTCCCACCCAGCTCAGATCCTCTGGGCTCCAGAGGCAGGAACGGGGTGGGCAGAGTCTTAGCCTGGGAAACAGAAGACTCAGCCTCCAGACCCCAATCTGCCTTCTTTGGGTCTCAGTCTTTCCATATACGGGGACAGGGGGATGCTAGGTTGCTGGATTAGATGACCTTTAAAAGATTTGTATTACCAGACCTCTCTGGTGGTGCAAGGGGTTAAGATGCAGCACTATGGAGCTATCCTTAGCCACTGCAGCATGAGTTCGAGCCCCGGCCAGGGAGGTGACACACATGGCGAAGCAGATCTCTCCTGTCTCACCTGCAGCTCCCCTCAGCAGTGTATTTCAGTGGATCTGCCTGTTCTGCTCCCCACTCTGTCTCTGGTGAATCCTCTCACCCCTGCACCTCCGGCCTGTACCCCAGTTCTTGTATGTATAATAAATAACTCTTTAAAAAAAAAAAAAGATTTGTATTACTCTAGAGGACAGGGGTTAAGATATGGAATCTGCATAGCATGAAAATGAACAAAAATCCATGCTGGATACTGGACCAACTGTGAAACACCCAGAGAAAAATTGCTAGTAGCCCCTGGTCAGACTGGGGCCTTTCCTACAGGGAGGAAAGATGGCAAATCAGTTGTCACTCCCCTGCAAAGAAAAAATCTTCAATAGCTCTGCATTGCCCTTAGGAAGAAAAAGTGCAAACTCTTTACAACAACCCTCAAGTGCCTTTCCAGCCCCCTTAGCTGACATAGCCCACCTGAAGTGTTCAGTTTCATTGACAAGCATGCTCCCCTGTGTTCTTGCTCACATGTGCTCTTGGCCTAGATACTCCCCAGTTTCCTGTTTGGTCAGCATCCACCTGTGGGAAGCACCCGGCTCTACTGCTTAGCACTGATCTAGCTCCTTGACTGTGATCGGGTGTTTGCACATTTGCCTTCCCAGCCACCCCCAGCCTGTGCAGTGCCCTTGGAGATCAGAATGAAGATCTCCAAAGCCCAGTGTGTGGCCTGGAAGCGAGGGTGTGGGATGGCCCAACGCATGTTGACACAGGATAGAGGCAGAAGCATTAGCATTCCAGATAGGCTCGCCACACAGGGACAGTGCACCAGGGTGGTGGGAATAAGATTAAGATGAGGCCGGAGAAGGCCGTCCATTCCTGCCAGGTCCCCATTTTATAGATGTCTAAGCCAAATGGTCTTGTCCATCACCAAGCAGTGATGAAAGTTTGAGGACTGGGGTGCTAACTCCAAAGTCCATGTTCTTTCTCCTCCAATGCAAGAAAACTATGAAGCTGAGAATCGAAATCTTAGCGTTTTAGGAAGTTCTGGCAAAAGCACTCTCTCTTTAACCTGAGTAGACTCCTGTTGGCTGACAAGGAGGGAGAGAGATAGCCCCACTCCACAGATGGAGAGGTGGAGGACCAGGGCAATTAAGCATCTTGCCCCTGATCACACCGCACGCGGGGCAAAGGGCAGCATTTAAAGGAGGAGGAATGCTTTAAAATAATACTGGCATCTAAAAATAGTGTGTGGCTTGGCCTGCTGACTCAAAGGGGTCATGTTTTATGGCTGCCCCCATCTGCTTTTCTGGGACGGTGCAGCTCAGGCTGCTCTGGTTATAGTTTTTCCATGAGCTTGGCTCAAATTTCCCTGTCCCAGTGGTGAGCCCATGGGTCAGTGCCTAATTTTCCAACGTTTATCTTTCCCATTTACAATTTCCCCATGCAAAGGGCCAACTCCTATCCCTTGTGTTTCAGATGCCAGGTTTGGAATTAGGATTAACCAGGCATACAGCTGCCCCCGACTTCTCAGAAGGCCCTATGGCTATTTGTAAGGGCCTGACATGAGCTGTTCCCCATGCCCCCATCCCCCAGAGGCCCGCCAGCCCACCTCATTGGCTGTAGTGCTGGCAGGGCCTGGGCCTCATTTCCTACTTTTAGCCCTCCTCTGCAGGCCACCTCCACACTGAGCATCCATCCATGCTAAGGAGACAAACTTGCTCTCAGCACGTCCCTGCCCTCACAGTGCCCACACTCCAGAAGGAGACAGGTCAGCAGGCATGTGGGGGAGATGGCAGCTTGACCAGGACATGTGACCCCAGAGGAGAGGTAGGAATGTCTGCTCTGCATTTGGATTTGAGGATCTGGGGCCCAATGGAAAAGTCTGGATCACTGTATCCTGGTCTGTCTCAGCCTACTGTTTACCTAAACACTGGGTTTGGGTCCTGGATACACACTCTAGACCTGGGTTCCACCTAGGTCTGTTGGATCTGGTCACAGCTGTTTCCTGGGTGACTGTCTCACCTCCCCAGAGCCCATCACAGAGTCCACACGGAGTGAGAACAGGTATACCCCACAGACTGGAGTTGAATAGAAAACCTAGCTATGTCACTATCATCTTTAGGGGGAAAGGAAAAGGGTAGAATGAAAGTAAGGCCTGTAGTTCTGTAGGTTCAGCTCACCGTCCATAGAGGCTGTGGGCCTGGCAGATAAGAGGCTGGGTCCCCAGAAAGAGGGAGGTAGAAATGGAGCTGCTCTGGTTCCTTCTCACAAACCAGGCAATCAGGTAGGTCCCCCTCTCCTCCCTTCAGCTCCCCAGCGAGGCCAGGAGAGGGAGTGTCTGGGAAGAGCAGAAAAAGTCTCAAAAAGGAGGCCACTGAAGGATGGATTTGAAACTGGTCAGGATCTATGACCTGAGTTAGCATGTTCTATCAAAATCTTGAGGGAAACCCATTTTGAAGAATATCAAAGTATCTAAACCATCTTGTTTTCTTCTTGAGACACCCCAAAGCAACAGTGCAAGCCCGCATGCTCATACTGTGCTCACAGTCATTAATTCACCCATTTTCTGGTGAACACTATTGTTTCATTATACAGATAAGTAAAACAGAGGCTCAGTGACCAGCAGTCACTAGAGAACTAACAGAAATAAATACTGATCTCCCCAGAAGTCTCCTCTGCTTTCCCCCGGTTGGCCTGCAAGATCCACACAAGGCTGGACTTTGAACTTGCTGGTTTGAAAGAGAACCATGGCTGACTCAGAATTGTATCTGGTTTCCCCTGGCTCATCTGAATTTTGCCCTCCCACTCTGTGATCTCAGCCAGTCTCCAGTCTCGTGGCTTTAAATATTATCTATATGCTATTGATACCAATTCTAAATCCATAGCCATGAACGGCAGATGCCCTGAGCATCTAACTGGCATCTTTTTTTTTTTTTTTGGCTGTATTTTTTAAATTTTTTTTAATATTTTATTTTATATAATTCTTACATCATTTTTCATCTTTGTACAATGTATGCATTTTCATTTCAGTTATATTCCCCATACAATTGCATCCCCCCCACCTTATTTTGACTCTACTTCTTCCTCTCCCCGCCCCTCCCTAATCCCCACCACCCCCCACCCCGCGTAGTGTGTCTCTGGTTTATAGTTGCTTGTTGATTTTGATTATTACCTTGCATTGATTAGTCTTTTTCCTGGTCTCTTATTTAGGTTTTCTAAATTCCTGCTATGAGTGAGACCATCTGGCTAACTGGCATCTTCCACTTGACTAGCCAACTCTCTGACCTCCAAATCCTACTGCTCCCCTGTCTTCCTGCACCTCACCAAAGGATCCTGCATGCTCACCTGCATGCTCACCAAAGGATCATCTTTGATTTCGCTGTGCCTCATGCCCCTCCATCAGAGAGCTTCATTGCAGGTAAACACTGCTGCCGATAGTTCAGTCAAGCCTTTCTCCCCGAATTTCTGCTTCCCTTGTACTGCCTCCTCAAACAACATTCTCCATTCCATAGCCAAAGCCATCTTTACAAACACAGATCAGCTCAAGGCACACCTTGGCTCCCCACTGCACAACCTTTCTACAAGGGCCATTGAAGCCAGCACCTGCCCCCAACCTCATCAACTTGCCTGCCCCCCTTATCTTAGTCTAACTTTCTGCCCCCTCGCTCCTCTCCCCTGTATGAGGAGCCTGTATGGAATGCTTTCTCCGCTCCCCTCCCATATCAACACTCCTTGGTCATTCCACATAGGTTCACAGGACACCTACCCTCTTCCAGACCACTCTTTGGCAGATCTCCATCCTGGCCCTCAACCACACCAAGGCCATTCCAGGCCCAGGACCTTTGCAGCAACTGCCCTCTCTGCTTGGAATGTTCCTCCCCAGGAACACTACACAGTCAGCTCCTATCTCTCCATGTCCCCGCCCTTCCTGGTCTTGCTCTCTGTTTCTGCTTCCTGTGGTCTGGTGTCCCCACGCTTAGTGGGGCTGGGCCCAGGGCAGGTGTTGAGTGACCAAGTGGTTGCATAAATGAAGCTGCTCACACCTCAAGCAAGTTCATGACTCTCTTCTGGTCTCACTCGTCTCATAAGCCCTAGTCATTTGCTGCTTAGAAGTCACAAAGGACCAAGATAGGGCCTGACTCCACCACTTACAACTTTATGATCTGGGGCTGATTCTTGTCTCCTGAGTAAAGTCTCCATTTTTCAACGGTGCTAACCGCCTAGATAGCACTTACCTCCTAGAGGAGATGAGAACAAAATCACAAGAAGATGCCTCGCCCTGGGATGGGCACTCCATAGGTGCTGGGAAGTGACCACCGACGTCTGTCCGCACATGCCTGCGCATGCATGCACTCACACACGCACGCTAGGCTCCTCTCTTGGCTGGGTCCGAGAGCTACCGATTTGAACTCTAGGAATGGAATCAATTAGAATTATTTTTAAAACCTCATCTGTTTTGATTTAACAGGAAGCTTCTGTTCAATGAAATGCAGCATTAGTCAATGCAAAATCAAAGGCCCTGGATTTCGGGGCTCGGCTGTTCATGAAGGCTGAGCAGAGGCTCCCAGATCCCCCCAGGACCTCCTGGGGTCATACACAAGTGCTTTCTCCCAGCCTGGCCATGTCCTCAGGGAGCTCAAGAGGACAAGGGTTCATCTGGCTCAGGCCAAGGACTTCTGCCTACTGTCATGGCCCTCTGAGTCCCGGGTATCCATCCGGGACAACGGATGTCAGTGACTGCAAGTATCTGTTTGTTTCTCCTGATCACTGCCCATAGTGAGGACAATGCTGTATGATTTATACCTGTGACTCCAGTGCCCAGCCCAATGCTTGGTGCAGAAAAAGCACTAGGTGAAATTTTTACAGAGAAAAATGAGTGATAATTGAATCCATACACAAATAATTTAGTTACCAATGATCATTATTATAACTAGTATTTACTATGCCGTTTACCATCATGCCGTGAAATGTTTTAAGTGCTTTTCATGTACTGACTGAGTCTTCATAGCAACACCAGGAGGTGGACACTCCCACAAAACTGGAGAGAAGCTAACACACAGGAAGCTGTGTAACTTGCCCAGAGTCACACACACATGCTGTGTATCCATCACAAGTGAGCCTGCTCCTTCCTGGCGCCCTCTCAGTCTTGTCCTCTCTCCCAGCGACTCTCCCTCCCTATCTCCCTCTCCAGCCCTCTCAGGACCTTCCCTCCTTCTCGTTGGCCAAGCCCGGAGTTCTGGTCTTAGCTCAGCCACTGAGCTGCTGTACACCGCGGCTGGGTCTCATTTCCTTCTTTTGTAAATTGAAAATGAACATATACACTGATGAATAAGCAGCTTTTTGTTAATTCTGTTAACAGAAGGCTCCTGACCTTTCAGAAGCCCCAACAAAGTCAAAACGTGAAAGGCCACCTCGGGCTGGTACATTGAACCATCAGAATTGATCCCATTTAATCCACATGCTGTCGGTGAGACCCACGTGATTCTAGGCAATAGCTCATAAAATGGAGAAAATATCAATTGTCCCCATTGAAGAACAGGGTAAGGGTGAGGAGAGAAGGAAATTTTGCTTGGTACTACATTGAGTTTATAGAATAATTTTGGGGAGAACAGCCATGCAGTCCATCAAAATGATATATGAATTATTTTAATAGGGTTTTCTTTTTTGGCATTAGACTAAGGTGTTCCATTTTTCTTCATAAAGTTCTTATACATTCTTGGTTATTCTTAGGTACTTAAGTCTCTCTTGCTATCATAAAAAATCAAAAGATATCTTGTCCTCTTGCTGGTCTTTATTAAGGAACACGATCTTTTGCAATTGGAAAGCATGCAATTATAAAATACCTTTTGCAGAAGGCATGGAACACCCACATACCCACCACCCAGACTAAAAATAAAATGATTCAAATAAAGCTGAAGACCTTTCTCCCAATCCCATTTCTTTTCCACCCCACTAGAGGTTATCATACTTCCATACAATGTTTCCTTTTCATTCATATCTTTATGAATGCTCTTGGGCTCATATTGTAGCCCTCCACACATTAGATTAAGTTCAGATGATCATAAACTTTATATAGCATCATTTTGCCTGCCTTTAAACTTCATAAAAATGGTGTACTGTATGTCCTTTTACAAGTTGTTTTATTTTTGTTCAGTACCATGTTAGTGAAATTCACCCACATTGATTTACGTAGCTCTGGTTCTGTTCACAAATTTATCATCCAAAGTAAAATTATCTGACAGCTTGCTCATCAATTTGGCTCTTTAGATACACATATATAATATTTAGATTGCATTCAATATTTTTTATTCTTTCAAACAATGTTGCAAGAATATTCCTGTGCATAACATAGACATATATATATACATATGTGTATATATATATGGAATGTGAGTGTGTATATCTTTATCAGATAGTGCCAGCTTGCTCTTAAAGTAGTTTTACAAATATACACCCCCATCTGTAGCATATGAGCATGCCCATCGTCCTATAGTCTCTTCAGCACTTAAAATTGCCAGACGTTCATGTTTTTGCAAATCTGATGTGTACATAACATAATCACTGTCTGGTTTTAGTTGTTTTTTTATCATTAGTAGTGCATTCAAGCACTGTTTCAAATATATTTTAGTCATTCACGTATTTCCGTCTATTCACTGACTTATTTTTCTGTAGGTCCTTGGTATTACCTAATTGATTTGTAAGTTTTTTTATACATTCTGGATACAAGTCACTTTTTTTTTTTTTATTTTATGTGTTGCAAATATCCGTTCCCAGTCTGTGACTTCTCTTTTTACTGTGTTTATAGTGTCTTTTGATGAACATAAATGTTTAAATTTTAATGCAGTCAAATCTATCCATCTTTTTCCATCCCTGTTTGTGTTTTTTTGTGACTTGTTTAAGAAATCCTTTCATACCCTGAGGTCATAAAAATATTCTCTTATGTTTTCTTCTAAATGTGTTGTTTTTGTTTGCCATACTTTTCCATAGTGAGTCTAAAATTAATTTTTGTCACAGTGAGAGTGAGCAGTCTAACTTTTTTTACTTTTTCCATGAAGATAACAACTTTAAGGACACAACTGATTGAATTGTCCTGTATTTTTCCACTGGTTTGCTGTGCCACCTCTAATTGTGTTAAAAGTTTCCACATAAGTAGGGGTCTGTTTCGAGTCTCTCTATTCTGATCCATTATCCTATTATCTAAACTTGTGCCAAGTATATTTTTTCACTTATGAGGTTTTTAAAATTGCATTAAAGTATTTAATCATTTGAACAGGTAACACTGGCATAGGACAAAATTCAAGTTTTCGTCCTACATCTGTACCCAATCCACTTCTAAACAGATAAACACAAACTTTTTAATGTACATTCAAGCAAATATCAATATATATAGCCTTCCCTTGGTCTTTCTACACAAATGGTAATGTACCATACACACTAGGTTTTTCATCCAATACTAGGTCCTGGAGATCTTTCCACATCAGTACACTGAGAGTATCTTCATTCTGGTATAGTTTCAAGGCTTTCTTTTCTACAGGTGTAATATGTGTACAACAGCTTTTTAAAAACCAGTCCCCTAATGATGGACACTTAGGTTGCTTCCAATCTTAGCTATTACAAAACACTCTGCATATGTCATTTCCTTTATATACCAATTTATTTTTAGAGTAAATTCTTAGAAGTGAAATTGTTAGGTCAGTGAATATGATTAAATTTATGTGTCAACACAAGCAGACTAAGGGATGCCCACATATCTTGTCACACATTATTTCTGGGTGTTTATAAGATCGTCTCTGGAAGAGACTAGCATTTGACACAGTGGACTTCATGAGAAGATGGTTCTGGGTGAGGGTGTATGGATGGGCACCATCCAGGCTGCTGAGGGCCCACGTGGAACCCAAAGGTGTACGAAGAGCAGATTCTCTCGGATGTCCACCTTTTCCTGCCCTTAAACACCGGAGCTCAGACACTGGGACTGAACCCGTTCATAAGTCTTCCACCTCAGACTGAGAGTTACACTGTCTGTTCTCCTGGTTCAGACTCAGACTGAATTTTTACCACAGGCTTTCCCAGTTCTCTCTGCTTACAGAAGGCGGATTGTGGGACTTCTTGGCCTCCACAACCATGTGAACCAATCCCTGTTGTAAAGAATGGTGATAGATAGGCAGATAGATGACAGTTATGTAGGTAGGTAGAAAGATAGATAGATAGATAGATAGATAGATAGATAGATAGATAGATAGATAGATAGATAGATAGATAGATAGACAGACAGATCTTCTGTTGGCCGTTTCTCTGGAAAACCCTCACTAACAAAGAGAATAAATATTTGCAATTTGAAGAGGGTTTT